TGACTTATTTTGTAATTGTTCTCTGTAAAACTTTATACTAGCGAAGCATAATTTTTTTTCTATGTAAATAGGTAAATAGGCAAATTAATGGTTTATTCAAACGATTAATAAAAGACAGGAGGTTGTATTGGTTTGTCTAACTTATTCACCTTCTTAAAACAAAATATCGACAATAATAAATAATCAGTAATGTTTTTAGTGTGACAAGACACACTAAAGTAAAAAATTCTTTAACTATTCTAAATACTGCCCTATTTTCCTGTACACATTTCTCATACACCCTAATTGTATGATGTCTTGCATGTAGTAACGTTTCCGGATTTTCTCTTATGATTGATTGCCTCTGAAATCCTTTGCCGAAGTTCAAGCAGTTCTGTGGACGTGATTTTTTGTGTCCCTAAAAGAAAAAATTATTAAAATTAAGTCGGGGCTGTTGGCTGGCCAATCCATAGTTCCGCCGTTCCCTATCAATCCCATGGGATATTCCATGTTAAGAAAATTTTTAACTTGCACAACATGTGAGGAGGGACACCGTCTTGCTACCATATAATCAGCGCTGATATATTTAGCTGTAAATCTTCTATATATTGTTCTATTTGGTGCTTTGAATGGTACCACTGGGTTTTTATTTCGTATATTTGTCTAGAATTATTTAAAGATCAATAACGCGTATTTTGTCTATTACAACCCTTCCTTGTAGTGAACGAACTTTCATCAGTTCATAAAATGTTTTTCAAAGAATTATTCTCATTATGTCTATTTAAAAAATCCAAACAAAACTGCATCTCCTTTGACATTGTTCTGCACTTAGTTTTTGAGTTTTACGAAATTTAAATAATCTTTCAAAAATGAGTGTATTGATCCCCGAGAAATACCTGTCTCTTCATATACTCTAGTAATAGAGGAAACTGGATGTGCTTAAAACATCATGATTACGGTATACATTTTTTGGATTTAATACGTTACCGTTTTCCGCAAGTATCTTTGCCAGCCTTGGAAATATCTATTTTGCAGGAGCTCGGCGCTCTGAGCAAAGTCTAATAAACTGACGACGAGCTGCAGTTGTACTTTTATTATTCAGAAAGTATACTTGAGGCATATCACTCTTTTCACGGACGCTAAATTCGGGAAAAGCCATTTTGACAATAATGACTTGGACAATAATTCAACGTTGTTTACTAATATATCAAAGATAAACATATTTTTATTTGTCAAAAAAGAATGGACTAAAATATAAAGTGTGTAACATCATTGTAATCGGACCAAGATATTCTATTAAACACATGTATAATATACAGGGTGTTCCATTTAAAAAAATATGAACTAGGCTTATATGTTAGAAAATTGATAGTGTTTTGTTTTATACGTCACTTGGAAAAAAAACTTGGCTACTACATTTGCACGGTAATTTTTTTTCTTAGATCAAAGCAAATTGCTTTGTAGTAACACAATTTGTGCTTTCCTATTCACCAAGAGAATTTTTCTTGATTTATCTCAAAAAATCTCTTAACTCTCTGTTTTATTGCAAAACAGAAATTGTTTTATTATAAAATGAAAGTGTATCAATCTAAGACACCTTTTCCTCGAGAAGGAAAATATTTGCTCATTCAAAAGAAAACCTTTTGATTCTTCTTCCAAGACAAAATAATTTTCTTGACCAAAAATGAAATAATGAAAATTTCCAAAGTTTTCTTTCAAGACCATATACTATTTTAGAGCAAATGGAAGTGTTTTTCGAGATAAAACAAACCTATATCTGCATTATTTTGTTTCAAGACAAAACTATTTTTGAAATGAAAAATTATACTTCCTTAAATCAAAATAAACGGAAATTTATATTATTTTCTTCTAAGATATTTTTTTTCTTAAACATATGTACAGGGTGTCCCAAAAGTCAACGATAATACTGAAAAGGCTGAGGGAAAAAGTCATAAGCATCAAGAAAAACAAAATGGTCTACCACTTTAATTGAATTCATTAAAATTGTAAACTTGTATCAGATTTTCGAGTGACACATCTAAAAAAAAATAACTCTTTACATTCTTAGGTATTTCAGTTTAAAAGCGCCCATATTTCATTGATCAAAGATCAACGTTAAAGTAAAAGTTCAAGAGAATAATTCAAATAATCATACTCGTACTTTACTTTAAAATAGATTTCTTATTAAAGGTTTTGAAACTTTTACTTTAACGTTGGTCTTTGATCATTAAAATATCCGCGGTTGTAAAACTGAAAAGAAGTGAAAAATGAAAAGAAATATTTTTTTTTAGATGTGGCATTCGAAAATCTGATCCATGTTTACGATTTTAATAAATTTTATTAAAGTGGCAATATCGCGAAAACCATCGATTTTTTACTAAGGCCATTTTATGTTTTTCTTGATGCTTATGACTTTTTCCAGCAGCCCTTTCAGTATTATCGTTGACTTTGGAGACGCCCTGTATGTATAAAGGTATTGCAAATTGAAATTGTTTTCTAGAAGTGATTGTATTGTTTACATAGGAGTATAGGTGTTTTGATGTGAAGAACAAAAATGGAAAGAAATTCAATCGTACGAAAATACAAAAATATTTATTTTTCTTTTTTCGGATTCAACAGTAACAGCAACATACTTAAAAGTACCACAAACGAGAACATCTTTAAGAAACATAGTCTTATATTCTAAAAGTCTGAAAAAAAAAATTAAAACAAATGTTATGCTGTCGGAAACATAACGCATAACAACCATAACACAGTTAACAGTGCTACGAATGCAAAGAATATTCCTTCGAAATTTTTTATCACTTCAAGAGGCATATCCCAATCTGTCAAAAGGTCACGTATGTTTTCCATATGAGCTAGGTATTTTTATACACATTCAAATCAAAAATCAACATCAAAACAAAACACAATTTTCGTTTCCGATGCGATGCCGACCAAAGCCACCTTTCCGACACACTCACTCCACATCACATAAATAACTAAATGAAATGCGTGTCTGCGTGTTAACAGGTTCATGACAAATAAATATTACGAAAATGTATCGATTCAAGACAATGGGGGTTTAATTTTTTTACTTCAAGGCAAATGCGCCAGGTTGTTTTTAACGAACGTATTTATTATTTTCATCAGAGATGATTTATACCGGATTGTTTTGAGTAAAAATCCAATTTTTCAAGATTAGATTTTTCTTAAAGGGAGACAGAGCGTCGTAGCTTCCATAGAAACAAATTTTTATTTTATGCTAAATAAAATAAATTAAGAAGTCTCAACGACTTGTATGAAGCCAATTCGTTTTGTTAAAAAATGAATTGTTTCGAAACAAAACAATTAAGGAAGAAAAATAAAGTCTCATTACAAGATGAAACACTGCGTTAAACTAAAAAGAAATATTTCACTTCAATACAAATTGTCTTAAGGTAAAACAAAATGTTCAAGAAAAGAAAGTTTTCTTTGTAGACAAAAATTTTTACCGCGTGTTGTTTTGTTTTCCTTGATATCTCTAAAAACAATAAAGTTGCAGCCAATTAAAATGTTTATCTGGATAAATTGGACGCACGGTACATTAATTGACAGTGTTACGGAATAATAACTTAATACTACAATACAATAAAAAATACGCAAATTGTTATTTGATGATGTAATTGTTAATTCCAAAAAAATATCATAATTGCATTGAATTTTGTGAATTTTTGATTAGGATCAGTAATTCCAATTAGATGTCCTCGAACCGCGTTATCGGGAGGATTTTGACGATACCCTCGTTGCGTCCGCGCGGAGTAAATAGAAAAATATTGTGTACGTTTTCAAAAGGGACAACCGCCTGGTTACCCCCGGGTGTCGGTGATTAATCGTTTGTTATTAAATGCAAGCAAACCGAACTGAGGCTCATTTATTTTAAAATCGCGGTTTTATTACCTTAATAGGGGCAATGTAAAAACCGTTTAGAAAGACACATTAGGTACTGACGAAGACAAATTGCGTTTGTTTTTTCCTCTCGGAAAAAGAAAGAGAGAGGCCCCGGCTCGACCGACTCGCCTGCCCGATGCACTTAGCATCGATATTTATCTTTCGAAAAATAAGAGAATTTTGACGGGTGTGGAATCGATATTTATGCCCCCCGAAACGGTCCGAGGTGAACGGCAAATTGCAGGGTTTTGCGGTTCGGCCGACACCTTGCGCTTTGTAGCACGTCCGTGGAATAAGTAAACGAATTTGTTCTTTTTCATTTACGGTACGTATCTGTAGTTGGTACCCGTTGGTTTGAGATTGTTTTCAATTAGATATACAGAGAGAGATAATTGAGAGAGATGTTCTTAAGGTTCAGTATTTTGTTCTCAAAATTCTGAAACATGCAATTTTATGTAGACCCATTTCAAAAATTATTGCAAAAAATTGTATTCACACTTCTATCTCTAAGAGGTTTCTTTAGAAAGTATTTTTTGGTGCATTTTAATAGGGACTTTTTTCTTATTGTGATCTCTAAAATTAGTCTCCAAAATGTAATTTTACTGTCACTCTGTATGTATACAGGTTTGTTTACGTTTGCTACAAAGTATTAAAAATGTACCATCTAGTCTAGATTGAAAACTGATTACCATCTACATAGGTATCTAATGTCTGGTAGAAAAAAGTGCAATCACTGAGAAATTAGGAAATTTGTGGTTTGCTAGTTATTCGGAAAATTTTGCATTCAATTGCTTGCGTATTTGCGTTAGGTTCATTGGAATTGCGGTTTTGAACGGGCCGATCGTTTCTCTGATAATTTAAAGCGCTGTGCTATCAATGATTTTGCTATTTCGATGGGAAGACGGTTGACCAGAAGTCGAAAATATTGTACAGAGGAAAATTCCCAAAACAAACTCGTATTTTGAAAATTTGGCTGAGCAAAACTAGCCAAATTTTCAAGTTTTTTTGATTTATTGTATTATTTTTTGATAATTAAATGCTTTTTTGCGTTGAAATATTATATATTATGTATTTTAATTGTACACATCACTAAAGTTTACATTTTTTTGCAGATCTTTAGTGAGAGCTGGAGTCATGTAAAGTGATTCCGAGCCCCCGACGTAGCGCTACCGCTTACCCCGGGGACAACTGTGCCAGAATTAGGAGGCAAGGCAATTTGCCGCCCCGTTTTATCCGACAATGGGCTGGCCGCCGTGTGGAACGAGCTTTAGTCTCAGCAGCGTCGTTCTCAGGTATGCTCTACCTTTCCAAAAAATGTGCCGGTTCTACGTGAATGCGTCAACATCTTGTTACTCTCGAAAATCGATGAAATCGAATTTTTCGAAAATATCTGCGCCCGTATAAAAATTTTAGATCTCGATAACGGTAGGTCCTAGGGGACCGCCATTGGTACATAATTGATCAGCGCCGAAAAAAAAATTTGTTTCTGTCTGTTCTCCGTTCTCTGTTGCAAGACATTTTCGGCAATAACTCCGGAACGGTTTCAGCTAGACGGCCCAAAATTTTAAAAGTCCTTGGGGCGCACAAGATATGTGAAAATGGCCGCGGTCAAACATCGGCGGCCATCTTTTTTTTTAAATTTTCGACTGTTTTCTGAACATCGCTATGAAACACGATAAGTGTCCGAAATTTGAAGCTATTGACTTCAAATTTTTCAAGCGGATAGCGTTTGATGACCACGGAACCTATTGAAATTGGTGAGGCTGGGGGGATCGAGAAGTATTTTTAAAAAATTAAAAATCGCATTTGCAAGGGTCCAAGAGAAAGATTATTAATCGAAAACCGTTTACGCCACCGAAACAATTCTTGACGCAGAAGATTCGGCTCCATAAACTTCCATTCTTGACAATTTTTATAAAATGTACAGGGTGCGCCGAAAAAAATGAAAAATTAAAATTTTTATTGACGCATTTAGCATTTACAATACAGTTTAACCTAGGAAAAATAAGAAAAATAGTACCCACACATATCAATCGAGTAATAATACTTAATCAGTTTGTTTTACATGACGACATAGCCCGCATTGACAGCTAAAACTTTTGTATTTAAGGTTTTCACCTGTTGTACAGGATGTTATAGATATTAAGTGCTATATTCAAATATTAACAGTTGTCTTAAATTTGCAGCTATCGACTTCAGATTTGACGGCAAGATATTTTATCTGTTAAAAAAAGACTTACTCAAATCAAAGTCTTTTTTTTAAATTTTAGGCATATTTTGGCTTCCAGAAAAAAAGATTTTCTCGGAAACTATTAACTTTATCGGCAAAATTTGTGAACCAAAAAATGCGGGAGATCCGGGACCATAACTTTTATTTCAGGCATTCATTCCATTATATACAGGGTTTTTCAATTATTGACAAAAATCTAAAAATACCCCTGAAAATATTTTTTTTCGCTATTAAATTATTAGCCATAAATCAATTCGTGAAAAATATGGCTAATTGGTTTAAACAGTTTTATAGGCCGCATCGAGAGCTACAAGTATTGTGTTTATGGTTTTCGTCTATCACATACGCTGCTCGAGATATTTGAAAAAATCCATATCAAAATCGCAATATCTCGCAATCAATCTAAACACGAAAACAAGTATTTTCTCGAAAACTATTTCTTCTATTGAAATAATTCATATACCGCGAAACGTGGGAGATCTAGGACTAATTTTACTTCGTTTTTTTTTATTATGTTCAGGGAGTGTCGATTATGGTTAAAAAAAAACAAAAAGATTCTGAAAATTGCCGTTTTCTATGAAACATCGAATAATATGGTTTCAACAGTCTCCAAAAATTGTGTCGACAGAGAGTTTCAGATTTTGTCTATCATACAGGGTGCGCGAGATATTTGAAAAAATTTCATTTGAATTCGCTATTATTTGTGCAAATTGCTGTGACTTTGAAGTTCGGCAAGTCGTGGAAGTCACTTTATACAAGGTGTGTGCACAATAAAATTACATCGATTTTCAGTTTCAACAGGATTTGTAAGAGTTGGTTGTATGACAAAGTTTTTATATTATAGGCGGACAATATCTCTAATAAGCAAGTCATACTTTTTTACATTGTGTATTTTGTATGCAAGAGTAATTGTAATGCAACTACAAGTATCTATTTATATGTAAAAGTCTTTCCCGTGCTGATAATGCAGATATTTTTGAGACCCCCAGCCGCCTGAGCAGACGTTTTATGGTACTTCTGATCCTTGGTTTATCTACTAGCTCTAGTTGTACAACAATTGATGGTTTACCAAAGTTACCTACCTAGTTTACCAAAACTAGCTCTAATCCTTTAAAACTACAACTTTTAAGTGATATAATTTGCTTGCCTCTTTGTAGCAGGACGAACTAAAAGTGATATCCAGTAGTAGATTTGCTGTTTACGACAGCCAGGTAACAGTTTGTGGTACTATATCTAATGCTAATTTGGGTTTTTGCTGAATACAAAAGTCAATGTAGGTTAAAAATTTGCAAAGCAACGTAGGTAATCGTAGATTGTTTTTAGGGCGCTGGTCTTGCTGCTGTTCAGTTTTCACTACTTCGTGCTCGCCACGGCGGTACCTACGAACGCAAAATTCTACACGATACATTGGAATTCGTCGAACCCGATATTCCGTATCGACAATACAGACAACATTATCGACGTGAACAGAAACAACCTCAAGTTCGAGTATGATCAGGTAAATTAAAATTTAATTTCATTTTAAGCCGAATATCGTACGAATTTGATTTACTTGCTTACTTAATTTAGAATATTTTTGCGCGTGACGTGTCAGTCGTGGTTTAGTGAGTGTTTTAGTAACATCTTGTTTAGTGTGTTGCCAAAAAAAACTGGTTATTATGTTGCATATTTCATTTGGAAAATCCAAATGAGACCGGTAAGGTCTAAGATTAAATAACTAAAATAAATGGAAATTATGATTTTATGCCAAGTACTAGTGCAAACATATTTTTTAAATTCTCAATTAAAGTATTTAAGTAAATCTCAAAATATGTGAAAGTTCATACAAGTAAATAGATGGAATGTACAAAAACAATCAAGCAATAATCGCTCATACCTCTTAACATCTAATTCCCTCAAACAAAAGACGGTTGCAGCTTTGGTCTAGAATGCTCCAAAATGAAGAACATGCTAGCGTTATTCTACAACATTGAGATATAAAATTCTGTGGATCTCGGCGCATCCACTCAGAATTGAATATTCCTGATGGGAGCAGACAACAATAGGAAGAAAACAACTCAAATTGTAACAGTTTACCGGTCTCGGTAATATGGGCAAGGATCTTAATAATAATTGTATATTTGTTAATAACCCCGCTTTGAAGCATTCGAAATTACTTGACACAATTCATTGGAAATTTCATGAATACTTCTTAGCTCGCGTTATGTTTATTTAGGTATTGATTTAAGAAGTTATTTAGTTATTTTAGTGATTATTTATATTGTCTGGTCCATTGAACATATTTAAAAAATATATCTCGCTAACTATTTTTCCTATTTAATTACCAACTTATTTGATTACAGCATATATTATTAGAACATTTTGTAAATTCGATATGCATAATATTTTCCTCCGAGGTTACGAGGCTTTTAACGATTTTCTATGCCGAAAATAGCAAAGGGGAGAGTGTTTAGTGTTAATAAAGTCGTTGCCCAAAATTCTCTCTTTCGAGCAAAATTTTTATGTTTGTGGTTTGTTAACTGTTTTTTTCTTATATTGCCATGTGGTAGTTTTACATACATTTAAAACTTGTGTTTTTGGTTAAAAAGAAGAAACGGCATAAAAGATGCATTAAAAAGCAACCAAGCAAATGGAAGCAACATTTTTAGAAAGTTAAAAAATGTCAAGTAAAAATATTTGACCAATCTCTACAAAACATTGAAACTACATATTTCGAGAAAAAAAGACAACATTCTCTATTAAAGAATTATTTGACAAAAATTACCAAAAAAGTCAAAGTAAATTCCACATTTTTTTTACAGAAGATTCCTAAGAAACAAAACGAGTAGGTTATAGTATATTACTTACCGAGGACTCACATTAAAAAGTTTTGGGAAAATGTCAACAGAGATTTTTTAAATACAATCCTTCGAAATTGATTCTGTGAAATATATACCAATCGGTTAGTTTTAGAAAAAAAAATAAGATTCAGAGTTTTATCATTTTTCACGCCCTACAACTTGGTTTTGTTTTATTTCCAAAGAAAAATCGTCAACTTCACTTTTTTCAATGCGGACTTGCATTTTATTCAATTTTTGTTTTCTTTCTTCCAGAATATTAAAAGCGATAGTCTGTGTGTTTTTAATGTATTTAAATTTATTTATTCTATTTACAAGTAAATAGAAAGTTTAGGGTTTTTCACGCCATACGGTACGGACTATTGTGGTGAAATTACAAGGTTTTCTTTTTGTTAAAGTGTACGGGTTACCCCAAAAGTGTAAAAAGTATTAAAGTTGATTTTTTTAAAAACAGAACCCCTGTATATTATAGCATTTTTGGATTCCACTACCAAAATAAGTAGGTTTGAATAAAGTTCATGATGCCTTAAATCTTGAATAATCTGAATTTCACCTAATTTTAATTTTTCAAATACATATGACATGTTTGAGGTATGTAAGCGAAATATATAGTAAATTGTTGCCATGGACCATATTTTATATCTGAATTACAGCGTCAATAATTTAAATGAAACGCCATGTTTTTTTAACTTTTTTAGTTAGAATTTAGTTCGGGCACGGAACATTGAGTATAACGCATTCAGTGATTCAGTCGAACAAAATCAAATTTTTAAACAAAAAAAAAAGCTAATGGGTGGTCCTCATATTGTGGGATCGTTTTTTAACAATGGCATTCGTCGCACGTGCCTTCCATTAATAAAGTTTTGACAATTGATAATATTGTACCTCAGATTAGTTAAAAGGGCCGGATATCTAATCGCCACGTAGAACACAGTCCGGATTACAAAAATTAAATTATTCATTTCTTGGGCCCGGCCTCGACGTTGGTGGCGATTATTAAATATGCACGCGTTAAAATGATTAGTTATTATATTTTCCTGGAAGTTAGTCGGTTGGTATAGCGGCGGGGGTTTATATATTATGAAAGGCCTCCCTAATGTAATCAGCGCCAATTTTAATATAAAGTTCGACGTAAAAAATTGCTTTATAGAATAGTGATGACCGAGGTGACGACCCAGTTAGAGAGACAAAAAGTTCTTTGTGAAACGCCTGCGGGTAATATAAGACGTTATATATTTCGACAAGGCCACGCAACTATTATGGCGAAGATGAATGTCGGCTTCATTATTAACTTGTAACTGGGAGGATACAAGTTCAACCCTTAATCTCGGTTCCCGGTAATTTGTACTTTCAGGAAACCTTGTTCTACAATTTGTTAATTACTTTGGTTTATTTATTGATTTTTTCTTATGGAAACGTTAAAATCAATATTTTTAATTGGTTTTGATAGCTGCAAGTAATGGCATTCAGCAAGGGGACTCTTTAAGCCCGCTTCTTTTTAACCTCGTTATGGATGAAATAATAAAACAACTTCGCAAACTAAGTGGATACAAAATGGGGAAGTGAAAATTCTGTGCTATTTAGATGACGCGGCTCTTGTCGCGAACAACAAAGATAATCTTCAAAGACTTGCAGTTCACTAAAACAGCCAAACTATTTAATATGGTTATATAAGCGGCAAAAACAAAATCGATGGTCACTTCCAAGTCACCGACAGATGCAAACTTGTGGTTGAGGACAAAATAATACAACCGGAAATGAAATTCAAATATTTAATAATTTAAATATCTGGATACCTAGACCTCTAAAACAAAAGGAATATTAGAGACCACGGAACTGAAAATACTTCGAAGAATAACGGTAAAAACACTCATAGATATTCAAAGGAGTGAAGATATTAGGCGAGTGTTCGGAGTAGATGAACACATTGATCGTATGGCAGAAGAACGAATAGTGAATATATCGAGGAACAAATAACCAGCAGGACGAAGTAGCCTAGGAAGACCTAGGAAAAGGTGGAGCGACAACCTCCCAATTGACTACTGAATGATGACAATCATGCCTATATGCAGTAGGAAGAAATTGGTTTTGTTTAGCAATTTTCCTAAAAAGTGTCACCCTTCCCAACTATGTATTTGCAAAAACCAATCACATCTGTACTTTATGTTAGAAGTTTTTGTCATCTATTTGACAAAAACTATAGAGAAATCTAAGCAGATACTTGAAATTCTATTACGCTTAAGTGGAAAGTTAGGAAAATTTGGGTTGGATTGAACTTGTTATTTTACTTTAATAATTTTTGTTGCGTTCATTTGACTTATCCATTATGGTTCAGTTGACTGGTGCACTAACCTATCAGAAAAAAAATCAAGGCAACTTCCGACCAGACTAGTGAAAACTATAAATACAAAGAACCAAAAACGCCAGTTCTTCTAGTTTGCTAGTCTAGACTAAACTCATAATATTAGTAAGAGCGTGCAGTTATTTCAAGTAAAAAGCTAGCTTGGAAACGTGTAGATTGTTTTCAAAGGTGCACAAAAAGCTGCAAAACTAAAACAGAAATTTGGAGATATGAATTAAAGATTTTTATCCGTTAACGCTAAGCTTTCTTAATGGGTAAGTGTAACATATTTTGCAAACATTTGTTTAATTTAAACTATTTAAAAAATAACAGGACTGCAACTGTTTACCTGTACACAATCTCGATTTCCTAGTTGTTTGAAAATTTAACTTGCAGTTCGTGTTTGATAGTTTTATACTATCATATCTATTTTAATTTTTGGTTGGGGTCAGTGGTCAGTAAAAACCTCTTTAACTCTTTTAATAAATATGATGAATGGAAAAGTCTTGATCGTAGAATGTATTTTACAATGTCTAGGCGTCATTAGAGTTCAATATATACGTATTCCACAAACTAAACGGTGCATTAACAAATTGTTAAGAAACCCTTATTGTAAATTGTTGAATGTAGCATGTGCATTAGAATGTAATATTATGTTCTCTGTATTCGGGGATAACTATTTCTGTTTCTCTTTCAAAACTACATTAGTTATTATCTACTTTTACTTTAATGTACTATTTTCTACTTGTTTATCGGGTCCAAATAATAGTTATCTCTCCCGATGTAAAATCTTTTCGTTATACCATTTAACGAGTCTTTTAGGTTAGACGTCATCAGCTTGAAAAAATTCAAAATGGGTGACCCCAACGCAACGGCCGCTTCCGATAATGCGCGATGATGAGCCTGGCGAGTCCTTTCTCTTAAGATGTCAAACTCCTCCACTCTGAGCAATATCTTTTTCCCACTTGTCTGATCCCTTCCAATCCAATTGACAGACTTTGGTCACTTGTAGCAAAAATGCAGTTGTTGATATCGTACTTGACTAACATATTGCGCCGTAACGGAAAATATTTGGAAAATTGAATTACGAAAAAAGTTCACAAGATACTTCCGCTAGATTTTGCTTTGTTGTTGAGATGTTGTGAATGTATAGCACGAAAACGTAGTAAACATTCGACGCAAACTTCGGACATCGTTTAGAAAGCCGATCGACTTTTTCCCATTTCATTTTTAAAACAATTTATTGGAAAACCCGTCTGAAATTTATTTCTATTTTCTAGGTCAACCTGATTTGTCCGGTTTACACCCCAGGGACGAGAGACGACGAAATGGAAAAGTACATAATATACAACGTGTCCAAGGATGAATACGACACGTGTAGGATAACGAATCCTAATCCTAGGATAATCGCGGTCTGCGACAAACCGTACAAGTTGATGTATTTCACGATAACGTTTAGGCCGTTTACGCCCCAACCTGGGGGTTTAGAATTCCTGCCAGGTAGGTGTGTTTAATAGCTCTCCGGAACTGTGCGGATTAAACAGACTGTTTTTACCGTAAAGTTTTCGGAAAAACACATACGGAAATAATACATGTTATTTTTAGTGACCCATAGTACGTACATGGTTTTGATTTGTGTTTTGTTTGTCTGTTAACTTTAAGAAATTTATTTATTTATTTAATACTAAAACGTTTATTATTCTAATCATCAAAATGATACATGAAAAAACAACAACAATTTAAAGGATAAAGCGCCGGGCTTTCACTATGTAACAATTATAAAGCTGTTGGGGCGTTAATTTAACTAAAAACATTTAGTTGCGTCATGTAAGACGGAAGGGGAACAAAAACGCTGCGCACAAAATTTATTGAGAAATTTATTTTTCATAACGAAATCAAAAATTTTACATTTGTTGACAAATAAAGCAGCCAGAGAGGAAAATATCTTCTTAGAGGATTGTTTCTTATGCTTTGGAATTCTAAGTATTCCAGCTAATATCAGTTTTTTATGAAGGTACATTGGCGTTTTAGTTATATAATCAATAAAGCTTATTAAATGCAACATGTTCAGCCACTGCAAATCGTTAAGTTTGTGACGCCTAAGTATTCCAAAAATTAATGTCAAGTTCGATTTTTGAAATTTTTGTATTCTTCGTTTATTAAAAACACTCAGAAGCGAGCATACATATATCAACAATATCAAAGCATAACTTGAGTCTTAATATTAAGATAGTGTTTATGTAGGTAACGGAATTTTAAAGCAGAATAATCCTCTTTTAAACAAAGTATGAATATTAAATTCATAATGTTCGTTAATTTTTATTTGTTTGTTTTTTTTTTTTTGAAAAAAAAAATTTCATTTTTGTGTCGTCATAGTAAAAGTGATAAACGCAATGCTGTAAAAAATTTATAAAGTTAATTGTATAAATACTTGATTGTGGTACCCCTGACACAAGCCGCACATGTCTCATTGTTTATTTCCATTTATCAGATTTTTGTGTACTACCTGTATAAGATTTTATAAGGTTAAATGAAGTTTCGTGAAAACTTAAATAATTCAACATAGTCATAGTCATGTCGTGACTAAATATAATAGTAGTCCAATAATATTAATATCGTTTCCTGATCACTGTTGCAATGTTATTATTTTCTAAAAATTTGTATTTCCATGTTTTTTTCTAATATCTTAGAAAACACAGGTGGGATAGAAATTGAGAGCAAGCATATTTTTATTGTTTAGTACATTTCCACACTATTTATTATATTTATTTATTATGTTGGAAAACAAACGACACTTGATATTTAAATTCATAGTAAATTCATCATATTGGGGGGAGTTTGGTCATTTCAAGTCAGGTTCGCACTGTTGCTATTTGCTTGGACTACTGACAATTGATATTGAAGTAATCTTCAAACTATACTTTTAATATCAAATTACTAACAAATGTTACGAAAAGCAACGTAGTTATCCGCATATTGTATTAATCATTAATTCATTGGGTATAAATAATAAATTAATCCTTGATATTTAACAGAAAGCATTGAACAAACAGAATATGAATATAAAATAAAAAATAAATTCTTTACTCTGTGTTTTTACTAAAATCGAATACAAAAATGTTTTCCACATGTTGCGAAACACATGATGTTTATGACTGGTATAATAATAATTGACTGATATAATTGGTTTTCTGTAAAACTTAGTGAACCAGTTAATAAGAAATACCGATTATGCAATCACACTTGTAATTTTTATTTTTATTTTTTTGTAAATAAAATAAAAAACATGGAAGCAATCTCAATACTCAAGGATACACCTAAAAATTCAGCTTAAAGTTCCAGTGTAATAAAGATATGCCGAAATTATTGGCATCAAATAAAAATAAATGATAAAGTTGTCTACTAATTTAGTATGCGTTTGTATTGATGCGCCGTGACTAAACCTTAACATTTTCCATATCTTTGTCCGACTTTATCTCACTTGAGGTTTAATCTAGGATCGATTTTCTCTTATCTGTATATGCACACTTTATGTGTGCACAAGTTTAAATTTTTTAACGTTTGCATCTTTTAGCGTATTAATCTGAATACGTCAAGAATAATTTTGCAGCACCTTTGGTCATTTCTTCATTGACTGGGATCCGGACATTTTTCTTCAAAATACTGATAAAAATGATCACAAACCATATAGTACTGCGAAAAATGTCACATCTAAACTGAAAACTCTCAAATAGAGAAACTGCCAGCGACCATGTCGATTTCTAAAAGGAAAAATAACTCAAATTGAAAACGGAACCCGAAAACAAATTTTATTTTGTACCTGTTTTCTTTAATTAAAAATTCCTTACATTATCATCTTTTTTTTTTCATTTATACGCCCAAGATATTTTTATAATAAAAAATAGGTAGTTCTCCTAAATGTTTATACATTTTTAATTAAAAGTATTCGGATGCTAAGTCCATTTTATTACTACCTATAGCGAACAGAACCCGCTTAAATCCGACTCGCCTCCATAAAGAAGGGCATTTAAATACTTTGTAAAATAAACGAGACCCGCAAAAAAACGCTCGAAAACAGTTTTGGCATGATGAGCGCAACTTTTCTCGCGACTGCTTCGTGGCATTATTATTTTTATTTGCATACCTATGAATAACCATTTGAAAACGGTTTAAATGAACTAAGAAAATGATAAAGAAACACATAAGAAAGAAACGATAAATTCCCGTTTTATGGTTCCAACATTTACACTTTGCTGAACGCTTTTATGAATCATTAAATTTCAACAAGAAATTATTTAGATAAGACATTCGACTATTTTATGTCTGAGGAGACGTCCCATTAATATTAATGCGCATGAATAATAAAGTAATAGAAATATGGCATACGGCCTTAATTGCTCGGCCAGAGCTCTGAGTTGCGTTTGATGGGAGTAAAACGAGCACGTTCCGATATTTCAGGATTGTACAAAATCCGGTTTTGAATTGGTTAGTAAAAACGAAGTACATTAAAACTCAAAGATGGATAAAATAAATTTGGGGTTTTATTTTACGACTTCACTTGAGGACTGCCGATCTTTTTCACACCAAAATGAAGTTTAAAATCGCTCTATATTTACTTTGCATTTGCATTAACATTACTTAACAATTCAAAATTTAAAGTGTGCGACACTGAAATTACCGTACAAAACATATTACAACAATGTCTAAGATCTATAGTAAAGTAAATCTTGAAAAGCGGCCTTCGTCACAAGACGCACGCTTGGGTTTTTTTTCCACGAGTTGCCATTTGATTATAACATCGCAATATAGAAGTTTACTAGCCTACGTGATGGTTTCTTCCTTTTAGAATTGTTTCAGTTTTTTAAAAATACATACGTCGATTACTTCAAACCAAAATATTTTTCAAAAATTCAAAATATGTCTAAATAAAGTCCGGTCTCAAACAAATTTCACCGGTCGGCTCCAAATTTTATCTCGATATTTTTACTTATTTAATTTTGATAAACACCAGTGAAATTTGTTATTCTTGGTCGAGATCGGAAATGTCGATGTCGCTCTCTGAACTGATTTTCAGAATTTAAGCTAATAATAAATTCATCCTCGTTGTCGTGTTGAACATAATTACTTAAATTTTGTTGCATGTTGAAATGCTTTATCTACGAACGAACGAACATGTTCTTCTGCATTGTATACAATCTCGATAGGGTGGAATAGGCTCACATGGGTACAGTGGTAAACGTAGAACCCCTAACCCATATTTCGCAGCGATTTTTTCAATTTATATTTGTCATACTAATTCCTGTATGCGTAGGCTACTTTCAGCAGCTCTGATTTCGAGTAGGAGTCGTAAAAGAAAATATTTTTTTCGAGCAACCAATCTTGAATCTCGGCTGTTTTCAGGTCACTGGATACCTAAATTTTCAAGAATAATAGGAAGGGTTAACCATAATAACGACATTTTTTGGGAATCAGCGACTTCTCAAACCATTGCTCGAAATATTTGACATTCATTTCGTTATGTCGCTTTTCTTTGATAAGAAACTGAGTCGGTGGCGGGTGGAAATACTTTGGCATATATTGCATGAAGCAGAATAACACTTGGACCTCTTTTTGTTGGTGTTTTAAGACCTGTTAAACCTTTTAAAAAAGCATCTCTGCGATCTGTTATGGTATTGTCATTCCAAGCATAATTAATCGTATGACCCAAATTGACCCAGCTCTGATTTAAATAGATGATATAATACCTTTTCTTGATCGACCTTATATACGTGTGTCGCCAATTAATAATATATTTTCGCTATAACATTATATTTTTGCGACCACGCGTCACATTCAAAACCTATATCTTTGATTAAAATATCCAAGGAACTTAAAGAAAAACTTCGCAAATCGGTATCCCTCCGAATAATTTTATAAATAGCAAAGTCGGTGCAATGTTTTTGAAAAAAAAAACATTTTGAACAATTAGTCTGAGTAAATTGTTAAAAAGCTTCATCATATGTATAATCACGAGATTTTTAAATTCGCCATTGTTCTGTTCCGCGTCTATCTTGATGTTAGAAATTGTTTTTTCACTAACACCACTTAGTTTTGAAGCGCCACTCACAGCTGCACTTCAACTCAACCTTTCGCAATGTTCGCACCTGCATGGAGCGCTTGCCCTTGTTTGAATTTCTTGAATTCCGTGTTAGTGATAAGAAATCGAACATAAAATACCTCATTAATCCAATATACTATTCAATTTTTATTACCTATTTTACAAACAAATTCAAAACACGTGATTCTAATCTTTGTATATATATGTATATATTTAATATATCCTTGGTAGCGCGAGGTAGCGCCACTACAAGAGCCAAATTGAGAACAAATTCAATTTTTAATGGCAAAAAACTCCCAGGTGCAAATTTTTGTTCAGAAATGGACATTATTTAGAAAAATTTGAAAGCAAACGAACATTTTTACCCTAAAAATACTTGACAAATCAACCTGTGAAATATCGGATACTTATTAATTGACATCATGTATCAGATATTTCTATTTTAGATACATGCATAATATACTTTTTAATACAATTTTACTTGGAATTGAATTACAAAAGGAATCATGCTTACCTCAATATCGAGAAGTGCGAATGAACTAATAATGGGATAAATAAAAACGGCGTCGATATTTTTAGAACGTCTTAACAAAAACTCTGTTTCACCTTTTACTGTTACACGAAAAAAAAATTATATATATATATATATATATATATATATATATATATATATATATATATATATATATATATATATATATATATATATATATATATATATATATATATATATATATATATATATATATATATATATATATATATATATATATATATATATATATATATATATATATATATATATATATACATGCCACTTTTGTATTTTCCCTTCATATTGCAATATATGAAATATTATTTTCGTATTTTGATTATTAACATTTAATATTCAATTTTCTAGGTCACGATTATTATTTCATTTCGACATCGACAAGCGATGATCTCCATCGAAGAATAGGCGGTCGTTGTACCACTCACAATATGAAAATTGTGTTCAAAGTTTGGGGTCCATCGGCGCAAACCCCTACTCTGCCACCTACTCCACCGCCTGTAAGGCCTACGTGGTGGTCCGTCACGCCCCAAAGGATGACAACTACAACGACTACAACAACCACGACGACGCAACCGCCACCTACAACCACAAAGAAGTCGAAACCATATAATAAACACCCGAACGAGGTGGTTAAAAGTGAAGAGTTAACCCTCGGAGGCAATCGCGTCTCCGGAGTGGTTAATTCAAACAATTTAGTGTTTGTTCTAGTGATGGTGTTGTTTGTAGTGGTATTACGATGAGCTGAACAATTAATTTAATTTAAATGGCGCTATAAATGTGTGTGACCAGTCCCCTGATCAACGTCCATTGCTAAAAGTGAAGCGAACTCTCTCGAACTGGTGTTTCGTCCCCCCCGATCCTAATTTTATATGTTTATATATATAAATATTGCAACATAGTGTGCAAATTGGCATGAACTTTCGAAATATCGTTATGAAATAACGAAAACCCCGCCCCGAAACTTACGGACCTAAACTTAATAACAATGAGTTTTTCTTGAATTAAAAAAATGGAAATGCCTAAAGAACTGTGTATTTAAGATTTAAATTATTTTTAAATCCTTGGGAATTTTACCTTATTTATTAGTATCTTATATTTTTAATTAGGTAAAAAACTGTACATATTTGTGTATTATTTTCGAATAATGGTGTTTTGTTAAAATATTTCAAACATACCTTGGAACCGCATTCTACTAGAAAGATAGTTGGCCTATTTAACTTAGTATTTATTGAAAATTTCACACACACGCTATTAAATTTACACGATATATTTACTCAAATATATATATATATATATATATATATATATATATATATATATATATATATATATATATATATATATATATATATATATATATATATATATATATATATATATATATATATATATATATATATATATATATATATATATATATACTTATACATGTATACAGATTGGGCCTAAAGAAGAAATTAAATGATCCCGTAATCGAATGTTCTGCTTCAGAAACGGTTTTTCTGAATTCATATATTGTGTGCACCTACATTTATTTAAATTTTTCAGGTAGGCATTATTATACTTGGGTAAAAGTGTATAATTAGGAATAGAATTTGATAATTGTGATACTAATATATAAATTACTAGTAATAATAAAATAGTTTTAATGAAACACCGGAGCGCGAGTGCGAGGTATTATATTCTTCGTTCTTTTGCATCATTTGAAAGAATATCTGCATTTGCCAAAGTTAATTTTTGAATTTTTTTGCTGTTTTGCATACATTAGGGACTTGCGCAGGAACCTTATTTAATTCTGTACACATATTTCATTTATTTCAACGAAAAATTGTGCCATAGACGCACTTTCCGAAAAAATTGTTGCAACCTGAGGTAGGATCGCAATGGACACTAAACAGATGAATATTTATTTTAAAGTTGGTGCCACGGAGATTATATTTTTGGGATCTGCATACTGATTTTTTTTACGCTATTCATTGTGTTATTTACATAGAGTACCTAAAAGATATATTAATAATGTTGGTTCAGAAAAATAATTCGTTAACAAAAAATATGTAATTGAACAATTGAATGGATACATATATGGTAGTTACATTTTATTGCACAGAATTTTGATTTTTAATATTTTTAATATTCTTAATTTAAACTGAATGTGTTTTTCTAGTCAGAGAATAAAAAAACATCAAAACAAAAATAACAATGAATGATCAACGTTTAGATTGATAAATATCTAAAATTAACAATTTTTAATACTTAAATTTGGAGAGTAGTTGTTCTATTAGTTTATGATTTTGAGAAAGCACAGTTACAATTAATGTGTTTATATACAAATCCATTTAAAAACATACATAATTATATAAAGGAGTAGATAACATTTTCGATATCACTTGTGCGAGTAGTAATTATTGATGACCAATTAATCATGGTAATAGGATAAAGTGTACTGATAAAAGACATTTAGGGGTTAATGCTGCTAATCTATTTTTGAGTTTATGGCAATGTAATTTTTATAGTAAAGTAAGCGTCAGTACAGTTTTACTTCCAACTTTGTCAATGATCATAATAAAAACGTTTGGAGTGTAAACAACAAAAACTAACCAATCTGTTTATTTTTGCAAACAATTTTTTTTCGATGATATTATTGATAATATCTTTTAAGGATACTATTATATTTATAAAGGTAAAATTCCTAGGCCTGATCTTTATATAGAAACAATTACGCAATTTAGTTAAACAAATCGAATATGACAAAAATGGTAGTGTACAGACAGTTTTACATGTTATCTAATTTTCCGTTTAAAGAACATTATGCTATGCGAGGCGCATAATTGACCAATCCTAAAATTCGGCAGAGAAAAAAGCAAAAAAAAAGAAAAACTTGTAAATGTTATATTTTTCCTGGTCAGTTGATTATTTCTAGTATAACAGTGTTGGACATTTTTTCAAAAAACAACAAATAATAAATTTAAAGTGAAACTAAAGTGTAATTGTATGATGAAAGACTGAAAAAAAGATACTAGTTTCTATTGTGTTAATATAAAGTATTACCCTTAAACAGTATGATCTGGCGTTTTTAGTATTAATTTGCTTGCTATTTAAAATAAGAAACCTGCACAGAAGTTTTGGTTGTTTTGTAATCTTACTGGTCCTTTGTATGAAAATAATTCCTAATGTAAATTAATTAATTACATTAATACTTCCCTTAGTTAGAGTATGTTCTAAATCCATGGTAACAACAGTCACTAAACCTAAATACACAGGGGCACTAGCTGGCTTGGAATGCTCTGCAGAGGGAGCGTAGTGAAAGAGAAAGGTAAAATTTTAAGAAATGCTTAAAGTGACCCTTCTAGTTTTGCTTATGTTTTTCATCAGTTTGTGTTATTTTAAATGATTTACCCTAAATGCCGTATACTTAATTTTTAAAATGGAAAACGCTTAATTTAAATATTTTTTTAATTCTTTTATACTAGAATGTTGTATACCTAAGATGTTTCAATAAATATTATTTAAACTAAAAAAAAATAATTTCTTTCACAAGTAGTAAAAAAGAATCTACCTAAAGTGCTGTTTTCATTTAAAATTATTTTATCATCATATAAATAAACTAAAAGTTTTTGCTTCCCAATTGCCTCTAATGCCTCTTTTAATCTTGCCATTATTTTTTATTACCGTCCTTTATTTTGGAACCCGATAAAACTAAGAACGCCAGCATGGATTTGTGTCTAGAAAGTAGCTATAATATGAATATTAATGTAATTTTGATCAAAACAAAGCCATAATAACGATGAAATAATCGGTATCGATACATTTCCTAATAAAAATGATATCTTTCAGATTAGCAACAATTAATTGACCAAATCTGTTTAAATACAACCATTATACATATTTTCTTAAACCAAGTTTTGTGTGTGCAATATGATCCTCATAAATGTGACTTTATTATTATAAAAAGTCTGCTAAGTCGAATTCCATCCAAACAATATGTATTCACCAAAATGGTGTACTTAAATACTTGGTCAAATATAATACTTTAAAATTTTTACTCCCAAGACCTTCAATACTTTTCTTTTGTTAACCCGATGAGCCCAATGTGTATGTTCAATCGTACAATAAATATTGTAAAATGCACCTATACATATAGACAAAAATATACATACAAAATTGAAATTTGGAGGTTTTTTTTCAATTGTTTTATTCCATTTTCTTAGCTGTGTTATAAAAGTGGTAGTTTTTAGTCAATATTTGTTGCTTAAAATGTACACACATGCTCTTCCTCACTCTTATTTCCCTGGCAAAACGACATGTATAAAACGTAACCGTCTTGTTGATTACCTGTAATATTTAAAAGTATAAGAAAAGATTGGCTAAAAAACACCATGAATTGTTTTTAGCTGCACATATTTTTCTTAAGCTTTGTAGTAAATGTTACTTGGTAATGTTTGTGTATCAACCACAAAATTGTTCAATGTTCTGATTATTTTTTTAAATATATTAATCTATTTAAGCAAAATGGGAGTTTCAGTTTCAGTTAAACATACAAACCCCAGATATGGCCTCCCAAATGGATCAGAGCATTTAGATGATAATGAAATTTTGGGGACCTCTATATGTCAGTGGTAATACCAAAGATCCTTTGCGAGTAACATTTTAACATGGTAGGCATTTGTGATTCTGACCCATAATTTGAGACTAATAACATTTGTGTGATTGACAATTTCAAGATCAAGAAAAATCATAGTATGAATAGTATATTATGCGGTAAACGGCATTTGTCTTGCGAGTTTATTTGACAGGAGCGGAGCAGTGTTTAATAAACGAGTAAAGTTTACCGAACGTGTTGCAGGCTATACGACTACGACCGTAAGTTTTTGGGTACATTTTCGCAAAACAACATGAATACATTTACTGACATGACCTTCACAATTCAAGGCGTGTAAAACATCCGATTGCTCCCAAACTCCTGCGGTAAAATCCTGGAAATGTCCGAAATGACTCAGATCCATGGGAAACGATGCTAAAGTGGCGCTTCTCGCAGGTTAGATCAGTGTGTAATTAGGCATTTTGGAGACGGGTGTAGAAAAAATTAATTACAACTCGCATTTTTTACCTATGCAATTTCACACACTAACCTAACATTTAAATTTAATCTGCTAGGGGAAAAACCAGTGAACTCTACAGTGGAATGGCATTGTTATTATGGAGAAGTGAGACAAATTTTACAGTAGAAAACAGGGTTGCATAAATATTAATTAAGTAATATACTCACAAATTAAAAATATTTTCAGCCTTTTCTAATTTTCTAAAAACTTATTGGTCATAAAATAGCAGCACGTACTTTTTTTTACAAGTATTATATTTAGAAAAGACAATACACGTATATTTATCTAATTATATATATTTAACCAATAGTTTTTTTTTCTTGAAAATGGTTCGGTGAATAAGCTGAATAAAGGAACTAAATACCTGTACAATAATAAAGGCGAATATCTCGGTTGTTAGGTGATTGGGGACATGCTCGCTTTGCCATCTTCTATGGGCTGAATCTTTACACCACATTCTCTTTGAATATCTCTTGTAAAGTATCGTACCTAAGATCTATTTTCAAACGCAGATCGCGTGTATTACAATCTTAATACACAATATAAAAATGATGGTATACTATATTCAATCAATAAAATCAATATCAATAACCTTCCTTAGAAATGAAGAATAAGATGTGTAATTCCTTTACTTATTAGTTTTAGATATCTCATAATTCCTAACGGTTTTCTTCAAGATATTATTTATTTGTAAAACAAAACCAGTTCATGTAATAGGTGTATAACACTTTGTTTACCTTTTGCTGATTATAAGCAACACAAGAATTTATCATTTAAACAAACACCAACATGAAATTAGAAGATTCTACATATATACAAGATTGTCGCAGTGAAAAATAGCAAGACTTAGTTAAAAAAAAATAAACAGGACAATAATATAAACGAGTATGACAAAGAAAACAATCCCCATTACTGCCCGTCTTACTCTAAATAAAATTTGCCTCACAAAATCGGTAACACCCACTTCAGTCTCGGTTCAGATTTCAGATGGAATTCACTAATGAAAACTATTGAGGTCGTGAACAATCTGTTGCATCAGCAGCCTGTAGTGAAACTATGCCACTGTTTTAGAGGCTAGAGTGTAGGATTCCTAAGTATTTCAATGTCGCGGGTTGATGTCAACCTGGCCAGGCTACTTTAAAGTTGGTGTAGCGAAGTTTTCTTTTATTAAAAAGCCTCCAATACAAACGCACTGTTGACAATATTTATTTCATGATCCGTTCTTAAAATTTGTTAGGAAACACCTATGTGAACACTATTCCTAAAACACACTAAAAAAAATTATCTTCAAGAAATTCTAATTAACATATTGAACTGATAATGGAAAACAATAAAAAATTGGACTTGTATTGGAATGCTGAATGTCAGTAAGGTTACCTAGTAAAACATTAGCATTTTTAAAAATAATTGAATTTTCTTAATGTTTATGTATTATAGTTTTTGAAACACATTGATACTGGCCTACTCGATGGTAAAACTTTGGCGAAAAAAACTCTAAATGGACCTATTTTCAGCTGACAACTGCACATCAAAGTTTTATTTCTAAATAAATTAATTTAGAACCACAAAGCTATTTGCTTTTAAAAATATTTCTCATGCTAAATAAACAACTTTGTCCCTTATATAAAACGTTTAACCTGCTGCTAAAATTAGGGTCAAAATAAAAATGCACTTTTAGAACACTAGAAAAAAAATGTATTGAACTCAAAAATCACATACATAACCAGGTGTTTGCCTAAAATCTATAGGCCTGTACACTTGAACAATTTTCATCCACGAAAAGCATATTAATTCGAAGCCTGTTGGTATCACAAATTATATCAATTAAACTACTACACATAAATACAAAACCGTACAAAATCTACGAGTATTTTAAGCAAAACAACCAAGACAAAATCAAAAAATTGTGACAAGACTGCAAGACTAACAGATAACACAAAAAAATTAATGTAATTTATATTTTTCAATTTATTCAGTCAATACAAGGTGGAAGTATATAAAAACTTATTACCTAGAATTTGGGCACTAAGTACTAATTTATCATAATTTAATACTGGTTGGAAAATTACTTTTTTTAGTCTTATAAATGAAAATACCAGTCTTTCATATTACAGAAGATCTACCATTTTTGGCACCCTTTTAAGGAAGAAATGTCTTAACAAACTGATTTTAGGAACAATTTTATAACTGGTGATACACCAAATTGTAAAACTAGCATATAATAATCATCAGTCTAACTCACAAATTAAGTCTGCAAATTTAACATGTAATCAACTTATGGAATGTTACTTTCAAGTCTGGAAATAACTTTTCTGGTAATTAGTTAATGAAAATAAAATATTTAATTTCGAAAGACATAAGATTTTTTTGTTAGAAATAAATAAAATAAAAATGAATACTATTGATAATACATATAAAATGTTATTATTGGTAAGTGAATATGGAAATATTATTAATGTGTTACACTTCAACGCTGACAGCTGTAGCATCCACTGAAGTTTCAACCTTCTTTACCTTAATGTCATCAGCACTCTCGTCAACAATATTTTTTTCTCTACTGCCTTCTGCATCACCATTTGTCACCCTTTCTTCACTTGAACCATTTTCTAAACCATTTGCTAAGTCTTTTTGATTTTCTTTTTCTTCTTTTCTACCGTTTTCCGATGAATGCCCCTCACAAATCTTGTCTAATTCTTTGCTATCATCTTTTTGAGGACTTTTGGCATCTAGTTTGCTATTCCCATCTTCTATTCTTTTTTCAATATCAACTTTGTCATCTACCTCCTTGTTATCAGATTTTTCATGTTTATCTATACTGGAAACATCTTTCGTATCTGCTAATTCTGTCTCTTGCAGTGGTGACTCAATATCCTCCTTTTTATCTTCAATGGTCTCCTTTTGGTTTATTTTCGGATCAGCAATGTTTTCGTTTTCTTTTTCGGTATTAGTTATTGATTCTGACTGATTGTCAGCAGGTAATGACACACATTTTGTTGATTCACTTTTTTCTGTTTTCTCAATAATGTTGTCTACATCAGCTTCTGCACTTGTTGCATCAATATTGGCATGTTCAATTTGTGTTTCAACTTTTGAATCATTCACAGATTCTTCAACGGTAGGTTTAGACTCCTCAGTAATCAACTTTTCATCAGAGCCCACATTTTTTGCACATCTAACTTTTTCTTTTTGTTTCTCAGTATTTAGCGTGTCCACACTCTCTTTCTCAGTAACTTTCATGCTTTCTACAGTTTTCGTTTGTTCATCTTGTTTTGTATTTTCTAAAGCATTGGCTTCTCCTGTAACATTAGTATCCATTGGAGAATCCTCGGGAGAAGTTCTTGTTTCGTCAGTCTTTTCTTTAGATTCAGTCTTTTCATGGTCTTCTGTTTTGGCAGGAATAGATTCTGTAATGATAACTTCACTTCCTATATCACCTAGAAAAAAAAAGGAATAAAATAACCATCCTCACTTCAATATGTCACTGAGTGTACAACTAATTTTTGCATCATTTAAAACAAAGTTATAACGAAACATATATATGGAAAGTTTGTTGGGTTGAGTTTCTGTCGTTAAAAATTGTGTTACCATCAGATTTAGTTTTCTCTTTCTTTTCAACTGGAACGTCAACTTCCATTGTTTCATTTTCCGTAGTTTCCTTTCCTGCATCTTTATTGGCTGACACAGCTTCATTGTCAGTTTTAGCGACTTTGGCAGGAGGTTCCTAAAACAATGTAAATATTAGAACAAAAATTTTACTTGAACTTGATATTAACCATAATTGAAATTGATAATTAAGAGAGTCTATTTTAATGATTAACATTATGCTGCTATATTGTAGAGGATGTCATATCTCTAGGCCTCTATTCTGTAAGTTTACATAAGCCGTATAAGCCAACAAAAACAATAAATAATTTTTCCTGTAGTTTTTCATTATTTTATAAAAAAATGGAAAGATATGTTTCTTCATTACCTAATAAAATAATAATATAGAAGTGATACAACTTAACAGTCTAAATAGAATAAAAACATTTTAAAACTCTTTACAATATACCTACATAACAAATGTTGGAGGTAAAAAATGTTCCTACTCTGATTGAATAAGGTGCAAAATAAAAAGTATTTTTGTTTCGTTACCTTCATATATGTAAACTACACTACCTGATTTTACTAAGACCATTGGTGTAGAGTTAATCTCAAAACAGAACCATTTCATATGAAACGGCACTCTTCAGATTAAAAGTTTTTAAATAATCTTTTTGTATCAGTTCTATATCCTGTTTTTTGATAAATTCAATGCTTCTTCGTAACATAGTATATTGAATCTCTACATTTGTTACAAAAAATTTAATTGAATTTTCATTATTTTAAAATTGAGCTACAAAAATTCTTGACAGGTCTAGAATACAAAGATACATTTTTTGTGTGCCTAAAAACTATAAATCATAAAGTTTCTCAAATTTTGTCTGAAATACCTTTTAATTAAAATGGGTTCATAATATGAAATGAAAATTGTTGTGGTGGTGGGTCAATATATTTACATGCAACAAAAAAAACTGGATTTATTTAAACAAGGTTAATGTTTATTCAAACCACTCCTCTCTTGCAAACTACATATACAGGCACTTTACACTCTACCTATGCCTAAAAAACCCACAAACCTCAGTTGTCGACATTTCTTCAGTATTTTTGCGTTTTGATGACTTATCAACATTGATTTCTTCAAAGCTGGTAACAACTACAAAATTCTTGGAGTCTTCTGGTAGACTATCATTACCATCACGAATAATTAGGATGACAGAGAGATTTGCAGATCTGGCCGCGTTACCCTCTGTATAGAAATAATCACATCAGTTCTACTACCCCTCACTAAATAAAGCAAGTGCTGTATGGGTCATTCACCCATTTTTTTTTTTGTTATGTCACACAAAAATTTTTTATTAGATATATTACTAACCTTCAATATTATCCGTAACAAAAAGAATCTCTTCTGGCTGCACTGCGAAGTCTTCAACAATTTTCTTATAACTATCAGGTTCAGTCTTAAGTCCAACAGATTGATCATAATATTTAGAGATATGTAAGGAAACATCTCCTCCTACCGTGTTTGCGAAGAGCAATTTTTGAGATTCCACACTGCCAGTTGAATAAATAGCAACTTTATGTGTCTGGGACCATGTTTCCAGGCAAGAAGGAACTTCAGGAAAAACACTAGGGACAAAATGAGAATTGTAATAATATTTATAGTCACTAAAAGTGGTTTTAAATATGTATTAAAATAAATTATTTTATATTATTTAATTAAAAAAATAATGCAGAAAATATTAGATTACAAACACAAAACGTACTGTGCTTTTAGTTCACCATTGTTATAACCAGAGGAGTAAATTAATCCTTGCAAAGTTTTCAATCCTTTGTTATCACTCCCTTTTTCTGTTAACTCCACCACCCCTTTTGTGGCAGCTTCTAAATCTGACTCCTTATCATTCAATTCTTTAATGGCTTCTTTAACAATTTTATCGTCCCACTGTGATTCGAGAAATTCTTTGGCGTGTTTGGTTACATAGGGAAATAAAGTTTCCTGAAATAATTCCATTTTATGTAAAAAAGATTGACCCAAAGAAATACTCTTTGTTGTTTATCCCAGCACTCTAATAACAGGGCGCAATGAACAATAACTGGACAATGAGGTTAATACATAAACTTACACATTACAGGTTATTCTGACAATAACTGAGAATACTTTGAATATACTTTTATTGACTATTTATTCTATTAACTGGTGATATATTTTCAAATGCGAAAAAGTATGAAAAAGTAGAAAAATTCTTTCCAAAATGTGAACAAAAATTCGGCATTAAATAAAATTTAAGCTGCGTCATCAGTCAATATAACATAATTCTAATTTAATCAAGCTTATATAGATAATACTTTAATACAATGAATGTGCATGGATTTAGCCTAGGTGTACAAATTCTAGGTAAATAATTTTCCTTAGGCAAATAATATTACGTCATGAACTTCCCTGCAGTCAGCTGTATTTAATAAAAAAAAAAAGCATTAAATTAAAAAAACTAAGTCCAAAGGAACAAAATAAAATTAAAACAAGTATCTACATAGGTAGCTTTCGTTATATTTGCCGATTGATAAATCCAGTTCAAATTTACATGTTAGTACTTTAGAATAATGATTGTTGCAAACTGCTTTACCGGCGCTGTACCTAGACAAAGACGTGAATGTACGAAACATACGCAGAAGGGCTGAAATTTTACCTGGCTCAAGGACAACCGGCTTATTGTAAATCGAAAAACTCGCAAATTTTTAACTTTCAAGCACAAAACGTATAGAGAGAAAACAAAAATAAACGGTTTTATATGGACATTTTTGTACGTCCATTACACTTCCACCTCCTATGGTCATTATTGCAAAAAACGGTATCTACTTAAATACCGGAACCAAAGGAAATACATTAAAATATTTACATGTTTATAAATATACCTATATACATATGTAACAATAAGAACCACACTACACACAGTCAAATTTCTTACCTTTGCAAAATTAATGGATGTAGTAGTTCCGAGAACATCCAGCAAGACGACGGTGCATTTTTCGAAATTGTTTGGGGGTTGTACACTTTCGGTATCTGAACTCATTGCTGGTTTATATCAATTAACGTGACTAAAATAGATAGATTACAACTATATGAAGGGATTATAAAACGTAATAGCAGAAAAATGTGACCACTAATGTTAACGACAAATGACACCAACCAAACTCATACAAGACACAAGTTGTGCAAGCCCAGAAATAAAATGGTGCTTATGGCGAAAGAAGGCATGCGTCGCGGGAAACTTAGTCCGAACAATCCCGAACGCTGGCGAAGATAAACGAGGTGAATGATTAAAATGCATATTTTGGCGGGAGATGTCACCCTCGCAGAAATAATTGCTTCCAACTCTTAATGGTTGCGCGAAATTTAATGAGACTAATTTCAGGCGTTTAATAAACAGAGTAAAACAAAAATTTAAAAATTCATCATCTTAAATTAAATTTGTATTAAAACGATTGAAAATATTTCAAAATATTTTTGAGACCAGAGTCAATTCTCGACCACGTCACCAACCTAATAAATATTTAAAAGCGGCGACCAACAGAACATGTAAACGTAAGTACTAGATAACAATTAGAATTGAAAAAAAAATATTTTTAAAGAACTTCGAATTCACGCTAGCGATTATTTACAAAAAACTCACTATTTTCAGTTCTTGAACAAAGCAAAAAAAATTGAAAGGCTTTATAGGTACATGCAGAAAATAATCATTTATAAGTTTTTATCAAAGAGTGTGTAAACAAGTAAAAAGAATCCAACACACAGAAAAAACACTACCGTACCAGCAAACAAAATAATTTTAAATTATTATACTCTATATATATATATATATATATATATATATATATATATATATATATATATATATATATATATATATATATATATATATATATATATATATATATATATATATATATATATATATATATATACTCTACAGTTATAAATACCCTTATGCTTTATCATTGCTTAGTTAGCATCTAGACAATAATTTTACTATTGATTCTTATAATTCTTATGTCAACATTAAAATTTATATAAATATGTGTATAATATATATATATATATATATATATATATATATATATATATATATATATATATATATATATATATATATATATATATATATATATATATATATATATATATATATATATATATATATATATATATATATATATATATATATATATATATATATATATATATATATATATATATATATATATATATATATATATATATATATATATATATATATATATATATATATATATATATATATATATATATATGCTTTATCATTGCTTAGTTAGCTCTTAAAAAATCGAAAATTTCTGATTCTGATTTAAATTCTAACTTGGAAATAATGCCAGATCCAATTAATCTTCAATAAGTAAGATATCAAGGGAATAATATCCCACATTTCGATTGTAACCCTAAGCAGATTAATCGTTTTATTAGAATTTGTGAAAATATCTTGTTAACCACCAGAATATCGATGAACCAAAGGCCGCAATAAATGTTTGCTTAATCGATACCATTATTCGCAAATTAGTTGGTAGAGCAGCAGACATAATAAATAAAACAGGTCTCTTAGCTACCTTCTCAAATCAAAGATCTGTTGATTGTCTTTTGCAAGATATAATTTCTATGAAACCGGATAAAAGTGAAAGCGCACATAATTTTGGTTTACGCTTGCAAGACGCGAGTTACATGCCAATAAACTGCTTACCTTAGTATAATTTAATCGCACAGTGTGCATTTAGATATCGCTTTATTCCGTTTATGTAATTGTATACAACTTAACGTTAAGATAATTTTGAGACAGGAGAACCAGTTCTGTTCTTAACTTCAGGCAGTCAACTCGCTTTTGTTGTTATAAATCGTTCCCGTTTTTAACGACAATAAAATTCTTTAAGCAAATTAAAGTTTTTTTAAAAAAGTGTTTCTCTGATCAACAAACGTAACTGGCGCAGTCGGAGCGGATTTTTCGGTAATTTTGCAAATTTCGGACAAAAATCGCCGAAGCAATTTATCGACGAACCGTAAATTCAAGTTCGGAACAGTCAAGAGACACTAGTACATCGTGATCTTCGAAGAGGACAAAAGTCGCCTCCGGATTGAACTGTGTGCAAGGGAACAGGACCAACTTCGTCCAAATTAGACTAGGAAGACCTGGGAGCTAGAACACATCTCCGGTTCCTATAGGCGTTAGGCTAGGAAGAAGAAAAGAAAAAACAAACAGTCGAAGAAACCAAGCAATGAAAATCCCATCACTATAAGTCGAATATTCCAATTTCCCATTTTCCATTGTTAGTGTAGTAATTGTAGTTATAAGAGATTCGTTTAAACCTCAATTTTACCCTCGTACTGTTTATGTCAATAACTTTCGATAGTATAGACGAATTGATCCGAAATTTTCTAGACATTAGCTTAGACGAACAACTTGATAATACATCTCGAAGTAATAAAATGGCATTAAATATTCCTCTAATAAGATTCCAAACTGATAACATTGCCCCATTTGATGGCAATCCGAAATTATTAATTAGATTTGTTACTTCTTGCGAAAATCTTTTACTAGCTTGTCGTAATGCACCAGATCAAAATAATGTAAATATAATAATTCTGGATGCAATTAGAAGTAAATTATGTGGTAGAGCCGCTGATTTGATTTGTAGCCGAAGTGAACTAAATTCTTGGCAATTAATTAAGAACGTTTTAATTCAAACGTTTAGTGACCAGAGAAGTATTGATTGTTTGATTTAAGATTTAATTAGTATGAAACCGTTAAAATCTGAAATACCTCTCCAATTCGGCATGCGAATCCAGGATGCTAGAAGTCTCTTGTTTTCCAAATTGAGTTCAGAAATTCAAGAAGTAAATGAACGAAATATTAAAATTAGACATTATAATGATTTTGCATTAAAAACTTTTATTAATGGATTACCATACCATCTGCAACTAGTAACTCGATTAAAGAATCCGGATAATTTAGAACAAGCACTGGCCTATGTAACTGAAGAAGAAAATTTCGAAAATTTCAAAACAGGTCATAATAGCAATTTAGCTAATACAATGTATAAACCGCAACCAAGAATGAATCAAAACTTTGTGAGAACGCCAATAAACCTATTTAGACCCCCCCAGTCTCAAAATTTTCACAATAACCAATCTAATTTTAAAAATATTCTAAATCAAACTCCTCAAATGCCAAATCAAAACCAATCAAACTATAAACCAATGTTTAGACCATTTCAAAGTCCGCCACAGAATCAACCAAGACCTATTACTTGGCAACCATATAATAGACTTCCTAATCAACAACATCCGATCTTTGCTAATCAACGTGCAAGTGCAATATTAAGAAATCAAACCGCTAGGAACCAAAATATTCCGAAAAATAATCAACCAGAACCTATGGATACGAGCTCAGGAAATAAACGTATGTTTCCGAAACCTAATTTTGTAGCTCAAGAATTATTTGCACAATCCGTGAAAAGTAATGGTAATATTCCTGATCAATCGACATCAGAATTAAATTATTTCCCTATACAAGAAAACATAACCCAACAATTTGAAAATTATGAAAATACAGTAGATTATACTGCTAATCTACATGAAACCGATTTCGACCCAAATTATATGGATTATCCTGCTAATCCATACGAATACTACGACTACCAACCCGATAATTTCGAATCATATGAGCAAAATTTTCAAATGGATGCTTCTACCAACAACAATACCTAACAGATCAATACCAATCAATAAACGTAATTGATATAAACTACCACAGACTTGATTTGCCGTATATTTATATCCCAGAAATTAACTCATATTTTTTAATAGATACAGGTAGTTCTAGATCGTTAATAAATCCACAAACTGCAGAAAAATATTTTAAATCGAACATTGCTTTTGAAAACTTTTTTATCAAAACTGCCCACGCAATTTCTCAACATGATAAGGTATTACAAATTCCAGCGTTTAAAATATTCAAAACAAATGAAATTATAAAACTTTATCTCTTTAAATTTTCCGAAAAATACAATGGTTTATTAGGTGCCGACCTTTTAAAACAAATAAACGCAAGTATCGACTTTAACAAAAAGGTGTTAAGAACCACAAAAACTGAAATACCAATGATTTTCGAAAACACACAAGAACCCATACAAAATAATAAGTCAGAACCGTTTCGAAATTTCTCAAATTCAGTAACTGTACCCGGCAGATCCCAAAAAGTAATAAAAGTCCCTGTAAACCAATCCGATGGTTTAGGTATTTTGGACTATACTAACTTAGGTAGCAAAGTAGAAATACCCAGAGCTCTAGTGAATATTGAAAATAACTTCGCATTGACTATTGCCACTAATTCTAACGAGAACCCTGTGAAAATAAATTTTAATGGTCCATTAGAAATCGAAAATATTAATATAGCAGAAACAAACTTTATTGATAAAATGGAGATTAAGAAAATTGTTTAAGCACTTCCCAAGATAATATTTTGAAACAAAATTTTAAAAACCTTAGATTAAGTCACTGTAATTCGTAAGAAAAAAATACAATTCGAAAATTATGCTTAGAATATCGAGACATTTTTTATTGCGAAGAAATTCCTCTTAGTTTTACTAATAAAATAAAACATAAAATTAAAGTAAAAGATGAGACCCCTATCTATACTAAAAGCTATCGTTTTCCCGAAGTACATCGCGAAGAAATAACCTCTCAGATTAATAGGATGCTCGAGCAAGGCATTATAGAACATTCTGATTCACCTTGGTCTAGCCCAATTTGGATCGTCCCAAAAAAAACTGACGCATCGGGAAAGAAAAAATGGCGTCTGGTAATTGATTATCGTAAGTTAAATGAGAGAACAATCGACGATCGTTACCCGATCCCAAACATAGCCGATATTCTCGATAAGTTAGGTAAATCAAATTATTTCACCACTTTGGATTTAGCTTCTGGCTTTCACCAGATCGAAGTAGATCCCAATGATGTTTCTAAAACCGGATTTTCCACACCTCACGGACATTTTCATTTTAAAAGAATGCCTTTCGGTTTGAAAGGAGCACCAGCCACCTTTCAAAGGGTTATGGACAATATCCTTAGAGGTTTACATAACGAAATTTGTTCCGTCTATCTTGACGACAAAATTATATTCTCGGTTTCGCTCGAAGAACATATCCTAAGACTTAGACAA